AAGCAGCGCAGCAGTGCATGGAAAGAGTGAGCAGGTCGCAGTTGCTATGCCAAGAGTTGGGCATATAGCGTTGTTTTCACTGATTCTTAACATTTTACCGTTACGTTTTCGCGCGCATGTAAATCAAGAAAAAAAAACACTGGAGGTAAACTCCTTCAATAAAAAATACCATTGTTTTTTTTTTCTCCAAATTCCAGAACGCCAACGTAACTGTATGTATTTTTTGCAAGTGTAAACGATTTGCCTGCATCTGTATTTGAAATTATTTTATGTGAACTCCAGCCAAAAAAATCTTACAATTTCCACCGTAAATTACCCAATTATAATAGAAATATTAAACAAAACTAAAGTATTTGGTTTCAGGCGATGTAACCGTTACTGGTCGAATGGGTATTTCATGAAATAAAATCCTTTTTGACAGGCTAGAGGATTTGAATTTATCCGAGGTAAGGCATGCAGCATGCTTGTTGTAGGTGGAGCCTAAAATCCGCATACCACCCTGTTGGTAATGAGCGCATAATTCAACGCCAATACCTGGTCAATATAAACATAAGTATAGCCTCGGCTTGCTGGTGATGGGATCACTGTCGCCATTTAAGTATTCGAAAATCTGAATCTGCTGGAGAATTTGCCGTTTCATCTCAAATCATTGTCTAAAAAATTCTACCAAAACAACCACCAGCTCTAAAATTTGTCTTGAAGTACAGTTCCAAGATCAATAACACAATGCCTCCAGAGAGATCTATGCTACCGTAAGACTTGCATACCAACTTCCCCACGGCTTTAAGTCTGGTGGCTGTTTTGAACGCGTATTCTTGGATATTAGGTCCCAGTGCTGCTGTCAGTATAGTCATCTTCGTAAGCAGTAAGTTCAGTTGGTCTTCCTTCCACTTTCTTTAGTTGCTTTTTGAACACCAGCAGTCATAATACATACATAGTGGTGGTAGTAGTGTCCGGAAAGTGTACCCAGAAACTTCTGACGATCAGCATGCTGCTTATCCTGTCGTCGTCACACCGTGTATATTTTCTTACTCAGAGACATTCCTCATTCCCGATGACCACCACTTGCCCTTGAAAGCGTATCGACAGTTGAGTGGAAGATCGACCTATCGCTTCAAAAACGTCCTATCTCAGCTGCCGATATATTGAATTTACATTAAAACAGGACGTTCTTGAATCAAATTTTGAGATAGGACGTTCTTGAGCCCCTGTTCTTAGATAGGGCGTTTCGAACCGGCTGCCAGGATAGATTGATCTTCCACTCAGCCGTCGATATGTAAAAATATACACGTAACAAATTAAAAGTCATCCGTTTGACGTAATGTTCTGCACAGTGAAAAATTCAGTTGCCGCCCCAACAAAATTTAAAAACTTAATATAATAATGAAGACAAGAATAAAGATAAAGTAAGGATGCAGATGAGGATAGCAATTAAGAACAAAAAAATAAAGATAAAGAGATAAAACTGAAGATTATGGGCTGGTGTCTCCAACTCAACTTAGTTTAGCCAATTTTTTAAGACTTAGTCAAAAATAAGCTGTGTAAAAGGTAGGTTAACTTTTGACTTAAGTCCAGCCATATGATTTGCTCAACTCTCCTCACCTCACCAAAACTCAACTCAACACAATTCACCTTAACTAACCTCAATTCAACTCACCCCAGCGAAGCAAATCACAAATAAAATTCATTCCTTGATTTGTGATTATGTTATGTTATTTTATGTTATGTTAAGTTCAGTAGATCGAAACATGCAACTATTACGGTTATTAAATGATTAAGAAATGAATCAAGATAAGTTTCACTTCCGTAGCTCGACCCAGAGGAACTTAAAAAAAGTTCGCAGTACACCCCTGAGTCTAAAGTATTTTGACACAAGCTTAATGATTTTCAGCAAGCTTTAATTTACTGACATTTGAGTGGTATCTTAGGGAGACAAGAACTGAGATTTGATGGATACGTACTAGAAACTGCCTGCAACTTAAAGGAAACTATGTTCGACCGTTTTTTACCTCTCGTACGTTCAAAGTTTGAGCTTCGAACAATTTAAGGAAATATAAATTTTTTTCCTTTAAAGCTAAGTACTCTACTAACTGCCTTCAAATATTCGACCAACCACTATTTATTGTTCTAATCCATAAAGTAGACCATCTTAAACTATCCGATGTGTATCTAGCCAAGCATACATATGCAAGTATGTAAATATGTACAAATATGCATTCAAACTCCATGGGTTATGAGGCGTAGGACAGTTTTATAGCCACAAAGCTTCCCGCCCTCATTCCACCAGGTGCCATCACATTTATGTATGTATGTACGAGAACATGTTTATAATCCCATGTGTTTATGTTGTGGCATTTGGTGGTTAGGTGCTGGGTACTCTGCTGGGTGAAGCCATCGTCTTTGCATGCCAATGCAAACTAAAAGCGGATGCTTATGTAGATGTTAGGCGTATAGTTTGTTGGTCTGTCGGTCCTTTCGTCACACTCTATGCAGGTTACGTTGGTATGTAGTGCACTTTGTGTCCTTGTTTTGTTACTTCCATTATGCCTGCCACTGCTTCTGTTGCACCGTACATATGCATGTACATATGTATGTATGTATATTGTTGGTTTCGCGTAACGCGTTTAATGAAATTCCTGCTGCTGCTGCTGCTGCTGCTGCTGCAGCCACCATTACCACCATCACTGTTGCATTGGTATGTAGTGTAGGGTCCTTTCTGGTTTGCGTGTGGACTCGATTCGCTTTCGCGAATCACGTTCGCGTACTCGCTCTTTCGATCCCGTCCAGTTCCTTGTTTGCTTGTTGACTATATGTATTTTGTTGTTGTAGTACAGCTTCCTCAACTGCCCTGCATCGTAGCGACGGCTGTTAGTTTTGTGCGCTGTGGCTTACATTTGCTTTTCACACTGGGCAAAATGTCCGGAATAGTAACCGTATTGTATTAGTGGTAGTGCTTGCTACCCAAGTTGCCTTTGTCCTTTCGCTATGCTCTTGATTTCAGTCATTCATTGCAAGCCCGTCACAGTTGGCAAACGAATGGCGGAATGTATGCCGCGTTGATCGTTTGTTACGTTGCTTAGGCGGTTATTATGTACGATAGCAGGTCGTACATTTGGCCGGGCTGTGTTGTGTTGCCTATATTGTCCGGGTATCGGTTGCGCTTTGGGTCGGTCATTTGGTGGCTGCAAAGTCCTTTAGCCGCCACTTCGCATGCATGTTCGCAGTTCAATGCATCACCTACACTCAGTTGCGTTCGCGCTGCTGGTATTTATGTAGTTTTGGTTTGCAGCATTCTGCTGCAACTACTTGGTTTAGTTTGTTTTAGTTTGCTTCAGTGTTTAGTTTTGGTTATTTTGCTGTCGGTGCACTTCTCGCTGCGCCACTCAGCTTTTCGTTTGTGAGGCTGAAAGCTTTATATAGCGCATGCATAAATCTATGTATATGCGCATATATGAGAACCATCAAGTATGTATATATAGCCCGCGACAAAAAGATAGCACCTCAACATTTTGAACAGTTCAGACGATTTATCTTTTGTTTGTTTAATTTTCATTGTTTTTTTTTATATAAAAGTATAGATAGCCCTTTATTTAAGAAACACAATATATGTATCTAAATTAAAATTTCAGACTTTGTATAAAAATTTTTAAAATTCCACAAACTTTTCATCCCATATCCAAGCATTTTAATTCTAACTTCTAGCATAATTTTTGGTACGCAGTTTCATCGCTTATTGAAATCTGTTGTAATTAAGTGCCAGTTTGAAGTTGCTACAAAATTGCTTTGATTTTTGTAAATTTTTTTTTTTGCTGACGGTATAACGCATTTTCTTCCATACAAAGTAATTTTTTATATGGAAACGAGTGCATAACATCAGACAAAAATTTTCAAAAATCAGCGCAATTTTTAGCAACTTGAACCTGGCACTTTAGTACAGTAGATTTTCATAAGCTATGTATAAAACTGCATTAAAAAAATTAATTTAGAAGTTCTAATTAAAATACTTGGAATTGAGATCAAAAGTTTGTGGAATTTTTAAAATTTTTGTACAAGATGTAGATATGGACCTGAACTTTAATAAAACGGTAATAAATCTTAAAAAAGTAAGAGAAAAGTAGTAAAAACTGGTAAAATGTTGATGTGCTATCTTTTGTCGTGGGCTGTGCATAGCTACATACATATATTTCCATACATCCTTTACACTTTCTCCACATAATTGAAACTTCTCTGTACTATATTGTAAGTATGCTCGGTGAAGAGTTGATACAGATTTATATACATAAAATCATAAACCAACACACACAAGCAGGTATGAATTCGAGTGTTCGCTTTTGCATATAATGCCCGAGTCATGCGTGCTTACATATATCCTCCACGGGAATTTTCGATTTTTTTAAACAACTTGCTTTTCTTCACTTAATTACAAGCGCCATTTTGCCTACATCTTAAATTTTTGCGTCGGTAATTTTCTGCCGATTCTTATGTATCCTATTTAAATTTCCTCCGCAGTTCGCGAATTTAGTCTGCCTTATTGCCTACCTCTTGGGCGCGTCTCTATGTCGAATTTCGCGCGTTGCTCACACGTACATATGTACATACATTTATATGTATACATATGTGTATGCACATATGTATCTACTGTCAAATTCTGTTTGTTAATGTTTAGGGACTTTCTTTTAATTATAATAGTAGCTACATATGTAGCCGAGGGGCGACCGCTTTTTAGAAAAAAATTTTTTTTTGTTTTTAATTTTTTGATGTTGCGTTGAACCGGGCTTGTGAACAACCCATTCTCTGCGGCCGTAAAATTCATTTAATTGAGTTATATATTATATAAGTTATACGTGTTACTTATTCCTATAGGAGTTTGCTCCAACTTCACAAAATTATTTTTTTACAGTGGGTTCAGATTACCATTTTCCTTACTGTTAAATTGTATGTACTAAGTTTAACTGATTTTTATGGCGTTTTTTTTTAATTGCAAATTTTTTTCCTTTCAGGTAAGTTTGCAGTCGTGTTAAACATTCCGAGAAAAAACCACAGATTTTTTGTAAATAATTGTGAGTATATTTCAGTTTTTAAAAAGTTATAATAAAACTTCAAACATATTTTATATGGACATACTTATGGCCCTTAGACTGCCTCATGCTTCGTAAAAAAAAATTCCTTTCCCTTAGCGAGTTATAAAATTAGGCCAATTTGATGAGTATCACAAATACATATAGTTCAATTGCTTTCGTGAAACCGGCAGTTAGAATAATATCGAGCGTAAGCGACATTTTTTTCAAAATTTTCTTTTTGATGCAGAAATGTATCTGGAAGCTCTAGGAATATTTCTGCATCAAAAAGAAAATTTTGAAAAAAATGTCGCTTACGTTATTTTGGGGGTTAGGGCCGATATAGTCATTAAAGAATTTGCATACACGTTTTTTTTTTTTGGGAATTCTGCAGATGTTATAAAACATTTAATTTTTTGATGCATTCTGTACAATTTCGTAAAGCAGAATTTTATGAAAATATTAATAACTCAAATATTTCTTATCTAATTTTAATTACAAATTTTTTAAAATTATTTTTAAAAAACTTCGACGCAGATTTTTTAATCGCCCATTTTCATATTGTCTAATTTCATGTATTAAAAATTACCCCTAAACGTAAACAAGGTTAGGTGAGGTTGTCGTGGCTATCTTCTCCCAAGACTTTCTCAGGCGACCAGGAGAGAAATCCACTCGTGGTTCTGATTAAAGACATAAACTTCGCGTAAGCGATTTTGACCGAGACCAAAATAGCACGCCAGTCGTTTCTCTTCTGTGCTAACTGACGCCAATTGGAAATGCCAAGTGAAACTAAGTTCTTCTTTACTTGGTCTTTCCATCGCTGTGGGCGCCTACCTCTTCCTCTGCTTCCACCAGCGGGTTCTAAGTTGAATACTTTCAGAGCTGGAGCGTCGGTGTCCATTCGAACGACATTGCCAAGCCAGCGGAGCCGCTGTATTTTAATTCGCTGCACTATGTCCATGTCGTTGCAAAGCTCACATAGCTCATCGCACATCGTCTACGGTACTCGCGTAAAGGCCCGTAAATCTTCCGCTAAATCTTTCTCTCGAATACTCCGAGAGCCACCTCATTGGATTTTGTCAATGGTCATGCTTCTGCGCCATGATTTCAAGGAGAAGCTCATGCAATTCCTCGTTACAAGCTGTTCCAAGCTCCAAATCCGGGAGAAGCTTATACTAGGTTTACATATAAATAGATTATCTTCATTTTCGAGCTTAACTCCCTAATCTGTAATTAGTTAGAAAAAGAGATTAACCATACAAAATTCGTCTCTTCGTCTTCGATTAAACCGATAACTTTTCGGTGTCCAACCTAGTTTTATCGATAAATTTTTGCGAAGAAGAGGGGAAATGCCAAATGTAAAAGTAAACACAAATTGATGCTAGCAAAGAAAATAGGTTGGTAAAGGTATTTTTATTAAAATAATTAATTAAAATATATTTAAATTGCTTGATTTAGCAGAAAAAAGTGATCACGGTGACACAGAGAAGAACATAGCTTTTCCTTGAGATGTGAGAATGACAAGCACCACAAATTTGAAGGCTAATAATCTGAGATTTACCTGTGTAAACGGGGTGATTAAAAAACGAGCTTTGTTTGAGATTATATTTATCTGCAAACGCACTTTTACTCCAGAGTAGAGTCGTCTGCGGACTATCTTAGTGTCTTACAATCTAAGTAAACAGTAGTAAAATATGCTTCCCTCTGGTTTAGGTGCATGCCTGTGACAAGACGCCCGATCACCATCTACTCTGACAGACAGGTTGCTTACAAATCTTTATAGTGCACCAATAACTCCTTGAAGGTAGCAATTGAAGACTGATAGTTAGACTTGGCTATGCGAATGTACATACATATGTACCTGGATTCCTCGGACACTACATCGCGGGCGAACTGGCAAGATAGAGAACTAATTAGTTAACCCAAAATGCGGGCATCTCGCTATCTTCGAGCAAGCTCTGCATAAGTGTTGTAGTTGTTGTAAAAAGTTAGTCTTATTCAGCCTTTTTTGCTACTAGTCCACAGACTAGCGCCCAGTATAAGTGTTTGATTTATTTTTCCCTACAAACTTTGACTTTTTCCGCTTTCGACGCTTAATCCTTTCCCTTGTTATTGTAGCTCGCTTATGCTTATGCGCTCGATTTTTTCCACCACCTTTTTTGTTTTGTTTTTTAAAGCACGGCAGTTCTTTATTTGTCTTTGCTCCTGTTCTACTTATTTCTGTTGCTGTGTTTCATTTTTTTGTGCGTGCATGCGTGCAAAGCTGCGACTATTCCTGCTTTCGGAGCTTCCACCCCCACCCACCACCTACATATAAAGATGCTTTATGCTTTGTATGCTTTTCATTTTCTTTGCTCTATTTTTCGGTGCCATTTATGCGCTCGTCACTCAACTCGAAAGGCACTTTAATAAGTATGTATGTATGTATGCATGTTTATGTGGCTTGTTGCTGCTGCTTTTATTTGCACGACTGCTGCTGCTGCCGCTAACGTCAATATGTTGTTGTGTGGTTGCTGTTGTTCTGGTTTTCACTCCCATTTTTGTTGGTTGTTGTTGTTATTGCTGCTCCATGCCATGGCCTCGACGTAGTCATCGTCGAAGGACATTTCAGTATTGTCGGCGCATTCGAGTTGGGGAGTCGAAAATTTACAGGCGATAAAGTTGCGCGCGGAATGCTCTTCAACGTTCTGGGCTACACTTGCTTGGATGCATTTTTATGCTTTTGCTACATTTTTTGAGCAACCATACATATGTATGTGCATACACAGGCGCACTGGGCGCATTGTTGTGTTGTAGTATTGCATGCAACGCGATTCGCTGCATTTTTTGGCATTTCGGGTCGTCGCTCGAGTAGCAAGCGACAGCGACAACAAAAAGTTGGGAAGGCAAATGTGGGTGGAGGAGACGAAGTGATGAGTGAGAGAAAGATGTAACACTAAGATTTTCATGGTATTTTATTTTTTCTTCTGCGTTGCATAGGCCTTATCCTCTCGCTAGACACCGTGTGCATATCCTGGCTGGCCGGTCGGTCGTCTCACGGAGGCAGGCACATGCATGCGCCTCACGTCCGCTTGTGCACTTAACCGCGCACACAAATGCATACCTTCTCATGTAAATGCGTGCCAAGTACGGCGAGGGTGTGTGTGTGTGTGCTGCTGCAATATATTCGCCTTGTCAAAAATTTCGTGGTTTCATTTTAACATATTATTTATTTATGAGCCTTGCTAGACTAGACCCCTCACTCAACCACCAACCTGCATACCTCCACACTCCTCTTACCCACAAAAAAAAAACAAACCCGACCTTCTCATCTCCCTTCCTCCCTTCTGTGACACTTCTAGTCTTCCCTTTTCTGTTTGCACATTTTAACTTAACCCGACCTGCTGCTCCTACTCGGTATCTCATATCACTTTTGCCGCCACCACTTTTTTATGAACCTTTGTCCGCCCACAGTTGTTGGCTTTGCATTTGCAGCAGTCAGTTGTTGTTGCAACGTCAAGTAGCACTGAAGGATATCGCAGGACAAAAATATATACGCCAGAAACGCGCAGTAATAATAATAATTGTAATATGTACAACAAAAAACGACGCAAATACGAAGAGGAAGGAAGAAGTAGAACAAGCAGCAGCAAGTAGACAGCGAAAGCATTCTATACAAAACTGAAAAAAATAATAATAGCAATAAATAGCGAAATTTTAAGCGGCAAGCAAAAGAAAAAAAAAAAACAAAAACTATTAAGAAAACGAAAAGCAAAAACAAAAAAATATGGTACGAAAATTGTGCGAATATTTTTTGGGTGTGGCAGATTCGTGTTGCCCGTGCCTGCCTGCCTGTCAGCTAGTCAGTCAGCCTGCTTGACTTGCTTTTTGTCGACTCTGTTGTGAGCCGCGTCCATTCTTCGTTATTATCCTGCTGTCACTTGTTAGTTGCTGTGTGCGCGAGTTGGTGGACGCCGCCGCGTTTTGTTGCTCCTCGTGTCTACGCAAATTCATTTTTGTATTTCGCTTCGAATTCCTGTCGTCGCCCGTGTGTGTGTGTGTGTGTGTGTGTGCCTGCGTGCACCAATGAAGAAACTTCAAGTGTTTTTTGTGACTTGGTTGCAGTGAAAAACTCAAGTGGCTGCTACTAATGTGATTGGTATTAAAGGCAATTATGGAAAAACATCATGAAATTTTGCGAGAATTGTTTTGAATATCTGCAATGGGAAAAATTAATATAAAAAGTTATAAAAACAAACAATCAAATAAAGGGTTGCATAAATAAACATACACAAGTATTTGAAGCGAAACGCATGAACTTAAATATATACGTACATACATATGTACATAGGTGAAAATATTGAAATTGAACAAACCAAGCCCAGCGATGCTGCTTAGATGTAAGTATTGAAAAACTAAGTTTTTATTAAATTTATGACCGTAGTTAAACTTTATCTTAATTAAATGAGAGTCGGAGTAGAAGAAATTTGAATACGCTGTTCTTGATGTTACCCTTCATCTACCACTTAAATGTGCCAAGCCGCCTCCTAAGTTCAAAAGGTTCCTGGTAGCCACTTTGCCCTTCTCTGATCTAGACCGTACCAGAAAGAAAAGTTCGCCGTACACACCCGAGTCTTAAGTTTGCATTTTTTTTTACCAAACACAGTCGGATCCTAAAGTATGATATATAGATATATTTTTTTTTATTTCAAAGTTAATTGACCTCATTTACTCCGTTCTAGTACTTACCCACCGGATCTCAGTTCCTACCACCCTAACGTACCACCACTCTAATGTCAGTAAATTAAAGCCCACCAAATATCTTTAAACTTTAGCCAAGGAAGCATGTATTATGATTATTTCAGTAGAACTAGTCAGAAAAATGTTAAAACGCAACCCTGCGTTTGGTAAAAAAAAGTGAAATCGAAGTTATCAACTCTTCAATTCGATTTCTTAGAAAAGTTTTATGTATCCAGTTTTGTACTCCATTCATGAACAAAATTTATTTTTATGTGGCAAAAAAT